ATGAGATTGTTTTCCAGTTTCATCGGGGGTTTTTACCACATTTTATCCTGTACGGTAAGTTATTGTATTTTAGTAATTTGGAGAATGGAAAGAATCTCCTTTTTATAGAATTGTGTATAAGATAATCGTTGTTTTTTAAAAATGGGAGTTTTAAGATTGAACATTACACACGTGCCAAAAAAATAATAAAAAACGTTCTGTATGATGTTCAGAAATACAACTAACACTAAGCAAATAACTCGTAAATATATATATATACTATAAATTTTATGAAATTAATGTTTTCGTGTTATTGTTTTTGCCAGATGCTTATTCTAATCGTTTCAATACAAAAATAATATTATTTATTTTGCAGTTACTAGCTTAATAGAAATCTTGGTCTGATTTGTAAAATCCCAGTGTTTGATTCTTACACAATCTCGTGTCTTAATACAAATGAAATTCATGCCCAAACTAATGAAACATGTTTTTCTTTTTTATAAGAGGAACTTCGCTTTAGGCTGGAACAAACTAATTCTGTTTACCTGTTGGTGGAGAAAAAGAATTTAGATAAAGCAAAGGAAGCGACGAAATATTTACCAAATTTTCAGGTATAAACACAATATATACGTTATCTGTACATGTGTTTTGTTTTAAATTTATATGTATCAAAATTATGAAATGAAACAAATACTCATAAAATATTTAGCTTTTGTTCCTTTACAAAATATCAGATGTCCGAAAAAACACCAATTTATGATTAATTTTAAATACGGTCTTTCTTAACCCACACAAGTTTCGGTAAATAATTATGTATATTATCACAGAATTCAGTGTATGGACCCAATGCTAATTTCCAAACAAACTGCTGTAACCAACTTTATATTCACTCTTAGAATCAAATGTTGTTTTGTATTAAACTACTGTAACCAAATCTCGACCATTACTTCTATAACTTCATTAGGACTGTTAGTTTACCAAACCAGTTGTAATTAACACTCGATCATTTTCTATATAACCGTCTTTAGTTTTAGTAAAACTAAAGTAACTAACTTTTTACCCTTACTTATACAAATATCATTATAATCAAAGATTAGTTTAGTAAATCTACTTTAAACAAATTTCAACCCTTCCCTCTGAAACCGTCATTAGAACCATATATTAGTTTAATAAACCTATTTTAAACAACTTTCAACCCTTACCTGTATAACCGTCACCAGAATCAAGTTAATTTAGTGAACCAACCGTAACCAGGTCTTTATCCTACCTCTAAAGTCTAAACCCACCATAATAATCAAACATCAGCTTTAGTAAAACGACTTTAATCAACCCCTGAGAATACTACTTCATTAGAACAAAAGGTTAGATTTACTAAAACTGCTCTAATCAACAGTTTAATCCACCTTTGTACTGATAACAAGAGTTATCTGATAGTACGGTACCCATTTCTTTATTCAACTTCTATACCCACCATTAACGTCAACTGTTAATTTCTAGCAAAATAACTGAATATATGGTGTTAATAAGAATAAATAATATGGTGTTAAACATTCTTAATCTAAATCTCTTCTGTTGTAACAAATAAAATTGCTAAAAATCCACTCACTTACTCCAGCTTACACAGTAATAGTTGTTTTCATGTAAGTTGTTAATATAATTAGTATTTCAGTCACTGCTATACCTGTCGTATGCTAACCAACCGTAGAGCTTTAATATTGGGTGAAAAGCGCCGTCGGCACTGGATATAACAAATATGGTATTTTTACTTTCATTCAGAAGTTCTTACGAGTAATTAATATCCAGTGTGTGTGTGTGTGTGTGTGAACCAAATGTTAATATTTTTGTCAAAATAATACTATATTGATAATAACCTACCCAAAACGTTACTTTACTGCCCACATTGAGAATCCTGTAACGGGCGTATGGGCAGCACGTGGGCTTATTCATTGGGTTCGACAAAGAAATTTATTTTGATTTCGGGTCGTGCTTTTTGCGAGCGGAGCACATAAGTTACTAGGAAGTTTACGTATGGAATAAAGAACTCACACAGAGACAACTGAATACAAATCAAATAGTCGTTTTTTATATGCACACTGTTGAGCGTTTCATCTGTATCGAAACTCTCAAGGTTATCTTGAAACAACATTGACTCTAAATCATTGAATTCTTCGTTCTGAAAATCTAAGTGTTCATTAATAAGGCCTTCTATTATGTTCTGTAACATAGACACAACATTTGTTAAGTTATCAATTAGATTAACATGAGAAATCCTCTCGGTCATAATCTTTATAACTGTGTTATCAATTATTCTAAGATATCTTTAAGTAATTCCACTTTAAGCATTTCTGCATTTTCAAATCTACTGTTTCTTTAGTACAGCCAATGCTCTTCACTTGCCTCTCTTTATACATTTTTGAACCGTAAGTGAAACACTGTTAGACACTGGATCAGAAATACCATACTTACAAGAAGTTCTTGTAGATTCTGGATTACTGTCATCCTTCGTCTTCTGGAATCAGAACAATTCCCCGAAGCAACTTGATAAGTGCGAAGAAGTGACGTTTAGAGTCGGAAACACGGGATTATATACACAATTTTTAATGCTTTTATTATTGTTCATGAAGCTTAACAGATATAATTTTAAAAGTAGTTCTTTTAATTCAATTGGCACAAGTGGGATCTTCCATCAACAAGTGGGCTATTCCATCAGACTGTAGCCACAATCCACTTTGCTATTGGTCCTTGCAGAACTTATTTCTGTCCCTTATCTAATATTTTTGGCGAAATCATCCAAGACAATTAACTTAGGGCGCATAGCGACAAACCGTGTAACTCATGTCTCTTCATTAAGCTTAATTCACTCATGGATTTTCCTCACCATCCCGTTAACTGTTTATGGTGACATTGATTCATTTTGTCAGAAGCTTTATCTGAACAGTTTGGGTTTTATCTCAATATATCACCTCTGTCTGGCACTAGAGTTCGTAGCTGTGAATGTTCTTGCCTTTAAGGTCACAACGCAGTATGTGTCCAGGGCTAACTCCTGCGATGGGCTTCAAGCCTGTATCTTCCTTATTTGGTAATGTGTTTCATTAGTGTCCACTTTTTTTATAACATTTGGATCTGCTGCTTTCTCCATACCATGCGTTATATACGTTGGAAAATAAATAAAATTCACTTCATGAAAAGCTTTAACTATATATATATAATTAGTATTTGTATTCCACAAATACTTCGGTCCAAAAATACTTCCTAAATAAATTTCCCGAACAACACACGTCAGTGCTGTGTGTCCGAATGGTAGATAAGCCTAAAGTGGTAATAACAGAAGAATTATTCCGTGCAGTCTTCTTAATTGTCTGATCTGGTTAACTAGCTACAAAATATGGATATGGTCACTAAAACAGGCGAACTTTATAAAAATGTAGGTTTATGAAATATGGTGCTACAGGCGACTCTACAGAATTTTCTATATCGTGTACAGAATAAGAGTCAATTTCCAGTAACTTCAAGTGTAGCGTCACCTTCTTGTCCACATCAAGCTCAAGTTTTGCATGACTTCAAGCAGTATATCTATATAGCTTGTCTGTTCTTGCTTTTTTCTGTCATCAGACATGAATGATAATAACATTTCCTGACCAATTATTCCTATCTGGAACTAACTGTATCTATCTCATTGACACTAGTATTACTTTTTCATCAGTACGCTGACAATATCTCTTGTCTTTCCAACCAAATATCTGACAATATACCTGTTGTCTACGTCAACCAAATTACTTGGCAGGTGAACAAAAAGTAAGTATGCTTTTTAACCAAATTACAGTAAATATCTGTCGTCTTTATCTTACTGTGTGGAGTGTGAAACAAACATCACAACCCTCTAAATAATGTATTTACGGTAGAAGTGAGGAAGAGTAGTAATGTAGCTATTTTTAGTGAATATGAAATTAGCTCAACAATATACGTAGCTTCCCTGAAATATACATGCGACATCATCACTAAGCTCAGATAACTTATTTAAGACATTTTAGTTATTGTTGAACGATAATATTACAATCAAGACACACGGTAATGTGTCGTGCGGCCAAAAAAATATACAAAAAACAAAGAAACTAAACCGCACGACAACCAGTGTGTTATTAACATGAATGAAAACTTTGAGTTTTTCAACCATCAGTATAAATGCCTCCGTTAATCAAAACTATCCCATATTTTGTATAATAGATCTTTTAGGTATTCTTATTTAATACACCAAATGTCTAAGAAATCTCTTTAACTTGTATGGTTTTACAGCAGGCCAAACTTAGCCTGAAATTCTTCGTTTTCTTCGCACCAGTGGATTTGTTTGTTTGTTTATTTGAAGTTAAGCACAAAGCTACACAATGGGCTATCTGTGCTCGGCCCATCACGGGTATCGAAACCCGATTTATAGCGTTGTAAGTCCGCAGACATGCCGCTGTGCCACTAGGGGGCGCACCAGTAAAAAATATTTCCCTTTAAGCGATTTATTTCACACTTGGTATGAAGCTGAAACACATGTTTCCCTAGCTTAAAAAAATCGGTTATATTAGCTTAAGTGTTCTCGTAGATAAGGGCAAAAATAAGTAAAAGTTACGCTTAAATCTCGTAAATGTTTGCGCTCGCCTGGAGACAAATTGGCCAATTCGATCACGTTGAAATTTTAACAACAACCAATTGGGGTACTCTCATAATTAGAAAGTTTTTAATTTTATAAAAATCAAGCGCGAAATTCGGAAGTTTGAGCCCAAAACCACCACCGTTTACAAATATTCTTACGATTTTTGCGTACAACTTTGCATCAGACTTCAAACTAATGTAAACGCTTCCCGGTACGTGGATTGCTTTCGTTTCTGGCATATAACTAGCATATTTTATAATATAATTTAACCTACTGCTCAAAACTATACAAGGAACATGATGTCTATTGAAAAACAACTTGGCTGAAGAAAGTGTGGACAAAAATAAAGCAACTGAAAGTTATAAATTCAAAGTAACTGAAGTATTGAAGAAACCCACATAATAGGTAATTGATACTAATTATTCCAAACTATATATGAATGTCAAATTTATGTTCTTTGCGGTTATTTTTACCTAATGTATAACAAAAATAGAGTGGTATCTAATCAAAACCAGCATAGCTATAAGAAAAGGTGTTGTCAAAATGATAAAATATTGATGAATAAAATTTTATGCAAAGCTATGGTGACTAAGCATTCAAAATTTTGCAAAATTTGTGCAGTATGCATATTCACTACAATAAATCACATGGGCCGCTGTTTTTGTCGGTGCATAACTCAACATAAAAAACGTAATATTCATTTATAAAGTTCAGATAACTTGTACGACCTTCATACTTTGCCCTACAAGGCCTTGGCAGCTAATTTCACAAGCCTTTTAACGTAGCTATTTATAACACTTTCTTAAACAGGAGATACTGGTGTTTGAGAAATCTGAAGATTGTCCATCGTTTTTGGAACTTGTTGAGGAAGATGACGGATCTGCCTTTACTGGTTCTCCTGCGATTGATCCTAAAGAAACGCCTTTACTGTTAACGTTTTCTAGTGGAACTACTGGATTACCCAAAGCCATTGTACATACTCATTACACTTTTCTTTCTGCAGTTATCATTGCCACGTAAGTCATTCTACACAGTTTTACTCAGAAATCAAAAACTTCAAAATAAAGTTACTTTCGCCATTATCAATAAGATTTTACGATATATTTTTCAATACTGTAGTTGTTTAAGTGATATTTTAAGATTTAAAAGCAATTGTCATAGCTAAAAAATATGTTTCTAGTTTTATATATTATACGATGTTTCGGCGCATAAAAAATCGAGCCCTTTTAAATTTGCCCAATTGTTTTTCTGGAAGAAATTTAAAATATTATATTTGCTTGTTTGTTATTAACCACAAAGCTTCACAAAGAGCTATCTGTGCTCTGCCCACCACGGGTATCGAAATCCGGTTTCTAGAGGTATAACTCCGCAGATATACCGCTGTGCCACTGATCTACTCACTAGGAAACGCATTGTTTCATGTTAAAAAACTTCATTTTTAACATAATAGCTATAATGGTAAAATAACGAAGAAAAACAATGATCCTTTAGCAATGGATGACGTACTTAACGATAAGTTTTCTTTCACAAAACCTGAAGTTGTTATTTGAGACGTTCGAAAAAACAACAACAACTTAGCACAAATTATTTAGCGTTATATTTAATAACTAGATCCCAAAGTAATTGTACCACCATGTTTAAATATTAATATGTGATTTTAAAATATTTCATATAAAGTGTAATATGACAAATCCCCATGTAACTTATTAAGTTTTTATCATGAAATAACGTTTCATATATAGTTTCTACTACATCAAGATAGCTACTTTCTTCAACTACTCAGCAAAAAAACGTAACAGTAAATCTGATTTTGCTTGTTTCTTTATTGTTAAGTTTTTAAGTGGGTTATCTATTCTGTGTCTGCCACAGCAATCTAACACAGAATTTTAGTATTATGTACCCTTAAGCTACACCACCTGAAGCCTTTAAGTATAGTAATTAATTTGATGTGCTTTCTTTTTTCTTTCAAAGGGCTACACATATAATTAACTAGAAAAAATGAAGCTAAAATCTTAAGCTTTTTTTTTTTTTTTACGACTGACATTTCCTGTCCACTTCTAGCAGCTCACACACAATTCTTTTAATTTGATTTAATTTCTATATTATCTGTATTTTATGGCAGATTTATATAATTTTATCTGTTTTATTGTATTGCAGCATATAAGAGAAAATTGGATGAATTTTTCAACTAATTTCTCCATATATTTTTATCATAAAGACATCCATCTGTTTGGAAGATTTCCCAGGATGACATTGTTCTTGGAATGTATCCATTTTGCCACGTGGCGGGTTTTCTCTTTCTAATTATTACTCTGTCTGAAGGAGTAACTCTAAGCGTTGTGCCGTCCTACGAGTCGGATTTATTTTTGGAGGTCATAGAAAAACATAAGGTAAACATCTAAAAATCATTTTTGACTCATGAATAATCATTATCTAGAGTTATTAATTAATATTCCGATTTATTGAAACCTCTCTTACTTTCATTATATCTAATGCCTTGACTAAATGAGGATGGACCCCGTTCTCCCAGCTCAGAAAAGCACTAAAGATGGTTATATGAATAAGGATCTAGGACTACTGAAACAATATTACAGAATATATGAAAGTTTGTATATGAACTAATGAGGGACATACGGTTATATGCGATAACTGTTATTCACTGAATAAGATTTAACTATCCAGAATAAGGAGGATCTGGAAGTTATGAGTGCGGCGAACCTTTTACCTTGTCATGCAAAGTCATCCAAGATTGTGCGACTCTTGTTGTTCAAAACTGTGGGTGACTCTTTCTTCTCTAATATACATATATACTTAATAAAATGTACAAAATACCTGATTTTCTAAAGTTTACTTATACGAATAACCTTGTGGGTTAGAACCCCCCCCCCCCTTCAACTTCAGTTACCTACTTTAATCAGTAGTCTAATGGATCCTCGGATATAAAATGATTTTCTTATCCTTTCAGTGTATGATTTAAGATGTATTACCTTTCTTCTTTGTTATCATGGTTACTTGAGTGTATCAAATACTGTTTGATAAGCATTATATATCTAGTAGTGACCTCTGACGGGCCAAAACAAACTTTCATTAATTACTCTCAAGATTACTATGAATGATTTTTTTTTTATAGTTGTATCACACATGTATTCTTCAAGCGAAAGGTGTGAGATAATCTTAATTTATTTATGACTGTTACTTAATGGAAACATGTAGAAGAGTTTACAAACAACAACGATTTGTAATCAATAAGGAATAAGTAGCCAATGATAACAAGACCTTGAGGACACTCCTCCGAATAAGAATTAGCGATAACCCAAACATATTGTTTGTTTGTAATTAAACACAAAGCTACACGATGGGCTATCCGTGCTGTGCCCACTACGGGTATTGAAACCAGGATTATAGCGTTCTAAGCCCGCAGACATACCGCTGTGCCACTCGGGGGCAACCCAAAAAGAAAAACCTACAAGTCGCAGTTTTGGCCTTTTCTTGTTAATTACAAGTTTCTTTATATTTTGTGGAAATAATAAATTTCATTTTAATTTTTCATTTTACGTTAAAATAAAGTATATGTAACGTCATTATCTTTTACGCTACAGGTTTCTGTTGTTCCAGTAGCAGTTTCAATAGTTTATCGACTTCTTAGAAATCCCAATGTGCACCAGTATAACCTCACCAGTGTAAAGGAGATTTTAACAGGGGGAGCTCCTCTCAATCAGGAATCCAATGAAGAAGTTGTTATGAAGGCTTTTCCATTCCTAAGATCTTTCCGACAATGTAAGATGAAAAGAGAAATTTGTAAACTTAGCAATGAAATTACAGGAAGAAAAAAGGTTCTGTAATGGTATTGTTGTAAGAACATTTGTTTCTTAGATTGAAGGGGCTGCGGGTGTTAATGATCTATATATCTGGTGATATATCTAGAACATGAGTTTACTATAAATATGGGTGGACTAGTTAATTAGAAGCCAGTGATGAATAGCGGATGCGTTATTTCAAAACTGAGAACTGAATCAGTCAGTGGGTTTTCGGGAAGTACTTGGATTACTGTTTGATATCACGCTGATTGAGTTACTTTGGATAAGTAAGCTGATTATATATTAGTCCTAGTATTGTTAGTGAGATCTGAATTTTATTTATAACATAGGCCAACAGTAAGTTACAACATAAATGTGTTCAAGCTTGTAGAAACGTTAAAGGACGAAATAAACAAATTTATAATTGATATGTGGACTTGAAGTTTAGTTACTTACAATTTTGGATATATTTAAAACAGAAATTCAACTGTTAAAGACAGCGAACACGATGTCAGTAGTGTGATTCAAGCGTTAATTGAGATGGCGAATGTGTTAAGACAAGATCAGAAGAAACAAGACAGAAGTTTTAAAGAAGACCAAGAAGAACGCAATAGAAAATTCAAAGAAGAGCAGGAAAACTGAACTGAAAATTGAAAGAAAGATACAGAAAATTAAAAGAAGATAACAGAAATTTGGGAGAGAAGCTAGAAAAAGAGAACTACTATTTAGATGAAAAGTAAAATAAAAAAATAAATCTGATTCTGGATTGACCGATGAAACTTTTAGGAGATGTACAGAAAGATTGCAACAATAAAAATGAATAATTATGCAAAATTAATGATGTCAAAAGTGAAGTACAAAAGACATAAATGAAATAGAAAAGGAAGAAAAAATTTTGAAAACACTGATGACAGAATAAAACATATGGAAAATAAATTATTAAATGCGAATATTATACCAGCGACACCTCTTTCTACATTGTCTCAAGAGTTATAAACCAACTACCACAAAATGTGGAAAGGAGAACTTATTCGGTATACATGTATTACTAATACTGCTGTGCCGTCTGTTACTAAACAGCCTTCCTACTCCAGTCAAGACACTACCAAATCAAGTTCCAGAATTTAGCTGACCTACTCAAAATCAGCCACTCGAAAAAAAAAACACAGCATAATATGGTAGGAAGCTATCGGGAACACACCATTATCACTGATGTTCAGGAAATACTTGAAAGTTTCATTGAATCTTCTGAACTCTATTTTAAATAGCAGTCACGCTGAAGAGTCTTACACAGGTTATGTAGAGAGATTAAGGAACGTTATCGATGGTACACATAACTTTACTTGAGAAAGACTTAAATCAGCTAGTTATAAAATTACAAGTCACTATGATATTAATTCTATCAAGGTGACATGATATGGCTGTACAATCCTTATTGTAAGAAAGAACGAACTCCAAAGTTTAACAGGTGATAGCGGGGGCCATAAGCTAAAAAATTAATAACGTGATTTACAGAATCTAGAAGGATCGACGACCCAAGCCAAATGTAATCCATTGGTGTTGTCAGTGAAAGAGTGGTCAATTGGGTAACTCCAAAGCAGAATTAGTTAGTGTAAACTCAACTCTTGAGAAGAGAAAAGTTTCTGTTAAGGTTACTTCTAGAGAACCATCAAGATTGGAACTGTCAGTGGATTCACCCGATCCAGGAAAAACTTCCTCATTGACAGGACGGCCAGTGAGAACGAAGGACAAGATGCCATCCCATTCCTATACCATGGACTTTATAAGAGAAACGCACTAACAACACTTAGTGAATGGACAATTTAATGTACTGTATTATTTTTGTATTAGGAAAGTTCTAGGGATTTCACAATCCAGGAAAGGGACAGTTTTTTTAAACAGTATTTTGTCAAGTTCTGACTTGTTTGTTAATTAAAAGGAGTTGCAAGTCATAATGATCCAAAGACCTGGCGAAATGTCTAGAACAATGATTAATTATAAATATATGTGTGTCAGTTAATTAGAAGCCAATAGTGAATAGTGAATTAGTTATTACAAACTAGAGAACTGAATCAGTCAGTGTGTTTTCATCAAAAATTTGGATCGCACTTACTGAGTGTCTTTGTAAAAATGACTTGATTTTATGTTAGCTCTAATATTTTTAGAGAGGTTTGAGCGTCATCTATAACGTAGGCTTAGAATATGTTACGAGTGTTCAAGCTGTTAGAACCGTTAAAAATGGAAATATACTAATTTTTGATTAGAACGTGGGACTCGACGTTGAATTATTTTCACGAGATAATTTAAAAGAAATCACCAGCGAAAGAACAACCTTAAAACAACATGGAATACAACGAAGTAGTGAACAAACTTATTCAAGAAATGCATGTGAAGTTTTATAGTCAATATAAGAAACAGTGGGTAGGATAAATCGTGCTTATATACCAGCCTAATTTGAAAACAACCGTGAGTGATACCCATTAGTGCCAGAAATATTCACCTGTATGTTTAGAAATACAGACTGTTCTAAACACGTATACTGGATCTATAATAATGACCATTATGAATTACGATTTTTTTTTTTAATTTAATTCGACGCACATGTTCAGTAACATATACATCAACATGACTGGTAAAATACACCAGTTTATGAATTTTAAGTTATTTGTTCAATAATTGCTTTACAATACCAGATCTGGTACAAATGTTGGAGTTTAGTATGTTTTGGATTAAGCGTTGCAGGATTTTTTTTAGTAAATAAAAAAGGAAGGAAACGAGTTCAGCATATAAATAGTTATAAGGATAGTAAAGCCGGAAGAATTTTATTTTTGACATGAAATAAGATACAAACATATTTGGCGATAAGTTGAACTAATGATTTTTTGTTTATTGTTAGAGCATATTTTCTTCAATTTAATTTCTTATTTATGAAAAGATAAATATTCTTTACCTTTTTTGCATAATTTGATTCAAATACATAGCAAATTTAAAATTAGGGTAACTTTACTAAACAGTTTAATTAAAGGAAATAAAACATACAGTTTTGGTCTTCTCTGATACTACTAGAATGCCCAATTGATCATATTTTCACAAATATTTACTTTAAAAAAATCATTCTTTTTGTTCATAGTTTATTTGTTTTTTAGAAATTGATTAAAACGTTGCTGTCTTAACGCTAACGTGTGTTTTAAAACTTTTATTTGCTTTGCTGTTTCATACAATTTAATTTATAATTTTTGATTTAAGTTATGTTACATTATTGTGATCTATCTAAACTGTTCAAAAACATTACTTTTTGTGCTTTTTGATAATCAAAGCCTAAACTAGAAACAGACGATAAACTATATAACAGTCATGTTATGTTATGTTGTAGTATTGTTCTGTAACTTGTAATAAAGATTATTTTATTAATTTATTTTCAATTGGTCTAAATAATAATCTCAGTTTTATTTCATTCACAATATCATAAAATACATTTTTTAACGTTTTGATGCATGGGAATAATTTCTAACTGTGTTTCATTTATATATATATTAGGTTATGGATTAAGTGAAATTCTTAGTGTTGCTTCTGTGGAAAAAGGAAACATTACTCCTAACTCCGTTGGAAAACTAACTCCTTCAACAGAACTGAAGGTTCGTGTTTATCTCTTACTCATTGGAGCGTTTTTTATATCATTTTTGTTTGTTTGTGGGTTATCTGTGTTATACCCCCCAGGAATCTTAGCGTTATATGCCTTTAATCTTATCGCTGAGCTACTGGGAGAGTTGATTTATTGCATAAAGTTTCAGCAATATAACATGTTGTGCAAACATTTAAAAATGGCGCTATAACATGTTTTAATTGTTAACCTTTAGTGGACAAATCAGCTCCACAAGAACAAAGTAAGATACAGAGAAGACTTCGTTCTATCTCAAAAATTGATTAAATAAAAATGAACAAGAATAATTCTGTATGAAGTATAGAAAATTACTATTACACAATTCTTCATACAACTTAAGCATAAGAGGAGAAGTCAACTGGAGCCTTTGGTAACTGGATACTGATCTAGACACAAGGAGATCATGTAAAGCTTTACCCAGAATGTATATTGTCATGTTTTGTATATAGTCAAGTGCAATATGTAGTTGAGAGTGGGAAAGTTATTTTAAAAAAAGGCATTTATTTAATTTAATGTTTTGTTTGAAGAAATTATTTTAATTTATTGATAGTATAATAATTTTCTGGTATGTAAAATACTTCGTGAAACTATTATTTTTATCTTAGTAAATATATAAGCACAATAAAGTCTGTATGTACTTCGCTTTTTCATATCGTTTTGCTGTACCGTCTTCATTACATTCATCCTCCCACATGTAGAACATATCATTTTTCCCCAGTTATTGTGATTGTAAGACAGTTTGTCAGTTTTAAACAACTTCAAAATATAATTATTATTTTCTTAAATTTATATTTTTCAGGTCGTTGATCTCGCCACGGGGGTCGCTTTAGGCCCAAATGAAGGTGGAGAATTTTATGTTCGTGGTCTTCAGATGATGAAAGGCTATCTTGATAACCCCAAAGCTACAGCAGAAGTTTTTACGGAAGATGGTTGGTTTAAAACAGGTCAGTTTTTACAGTTATAACACGAATATTACTTATTTTATAAAACAAAATTTTCGATCCAGAGTTGTTGTTATTTTTAGTGAACATTTTATTATTTTTATCTCTAATTGTTATTGTTATATATATTTTTTCGGTAACTTTTACGGTGTTAGTGTTACCACAATTGTTTTTTACTATTTTATGGAGTGTTATTTTTACCTTTCCTTTCATTAAAAGACTGTCACCGTTAACGTTCTTCTCTTTGCTTTGGATATTACTTTTTAAAACTTTTCATCTTCAGTTAATTAGAGTGGGAATTTGGAATAACCCAAATTTTCTGAACTGGCCATTTAAAATTGCAGTCGGAAATGTCCTTAACAGCGAGGGAACCAAACTTTTGATTAAATGCGTTGTAATCAGTATCAGTTTGAATTTTGTGATGTATTGAGTTCATAATATTATGAATTTGTTGGTTTGTTCAATTTCGCGCAAAGAAACTCACAACTGATGTGCTCTAGCCGTTCCTAATGTAGCAGTGATAGACTGAAGGAAAGATAACTAGCCAACACCAGCCATCGCCAACTCTTGGGCTACACTTTTACCAACAAATAGTGGGATTAACTATCACCTTATGATGCTCCTGCGGCTGAAGAGCGAGAAAGTTCTGCGACTGGTTTCGATCTAACAGCCTACAGATTGCGAGTTTAGCATCCTAACCACTCGGCCATGCCAAGCCTAAACATTTGGGGTCAGTTTGTGTACAAATGTTATCATAACTACACATCCATTAAACATTACTTCGGTTGATTCAGTTTTAGTTATTAATTTAAAAATTACAGCATGATCTGCTTTTGTCTATTTAAACTACACTATATTTCAGTCCCCCCAGTGGCTCAGCGATGAGCCAGAGAGTTTATAACGCTAATTTTTTTAAGGTTCGATATCCACAGTTTGAACAGGCTACCCATTATGTAGCTTTATGCTTAAAAAAACAGCAAAAAATACATTTCAAACAAAAAGAAATTGTAGTAAAAATATTGTTTTTAACCACCTTGTCTGCGGTTCGCCATTGAGCATTATAATGTGAAGGTCAATCCTACTATTAGTTGGTAAAAAGAGTAGCCAAAGACTTGGCGGTGTGTGGTGTTGACTAGTTGCCATCCCTCTAGCCTGTCACTACTAAATTAGGGACTGCTAGCGCAGATAGCCCTAAAGTAGCTTTGTGCAAAATTCAAACCAGCCCAAGCGTAACCAACCTCCTTAAAAGTGAATTATTTTCGTGAATTTTTCTGTATGCTCTTAGTAATTCTGATTTTTTACAAGCCGATTGCTATTACTCAATGGTATAATCAAATATTATCCTTAATAACTAGAGAAGTAGAAACTAAGAAATGCCGCATTAGAAACACGATAACGTTTGCTTGAAAAAGTTTGTCTCTGGTTAACAAAGAACAGGAATAGAATACAACCGATTTCTAATTCTACGTTTTCAGAAAATTATAAATGGAACCAAAGAACGTTGATCTTAAAATCCAAATTTAACATTGTTTTAAGGAAAAACATATATGGTTGACTTTCATTGATGAAGGTCAATTTACCAAAACATTGACAATATAGTTATTTTTATATTAAAGCAATGAGAACTAATTATTTAAGTTTCAGATTTTAATATTGTTATTTCAAACTATCCAAAATAGCATGATAAAACAAGGAATGTAAACATCATTCAATCAAACTTAAAAATATACACTTATCAACAATAGTTATTCTCGACAGGAGATTTCGGCCATTATGATTCGGAGGGAAATCTCTACATCACTGACAGATTAAAAGAAATGATCAAATCAGGATTTCATCAGGTTTCTCCTACTGAAATAGAGTCTGTATTATGTAGCCATCAGGTAATAGAGGACGCTGCAGTAGTTGGAATCCCAGATTCCACTTTAGGAGAAGTACCTTATGGATTTGTTGTGATCAGACCAGATAGTCACGTGACACCTGAAAACATACTTCGTTTTATTTCAGGTAAGATTTTTTTCTATCACGAATGTTATTTGTAGAAATATTTAATACACTCTTAACTTTTCCAGTCTGTGGTATGCTTCACATTATTGTAATGTACGAACGAATACTACAGTAAATATTAAACAAAATGCCTGCATTTAAATATTACTCAATAATCACCGGAACATTATTAAATACTATAGTGTGAACGCATTTTTTAAGTAGGCGAAGCATGATTTTAATTAATTATATTTGGCACAAGCCAACTGTATTAGGCTTCTTATATTTTACAACACTACATTCCTTATTCAGTCTCTTAGGGCTTTTTCAGTAAGAATAAGAATGTATAATAGCATTTCAACCACACAATGAATACGGTGGGAATAGTGTGTTTGAAGTATAGTAATACAGTTTTTTTCTTCTTGAAAAACCCATGATACAAAATTGAAAGCGACTTGCGGTAGATATGTGTGCACTAATGATTTTCGCTAGGAACGTAAATATAAGTCTTATTCATGTGTTTCAGTTTAAATAGTTGATAGATGTATTAAGTTCATAGCCATGTATTTAATATTTACCCAACAACTGTGCACACAACACACAATTTAGCAAGGACCGACTTCGGCGCCATCGTTTGGTTTAAAAGCAAGCTAACGGTGGCAATATTGAGGGGCATAACATCGTTCAGTAAAAAAAAAAAAAATATTCAAATTAAGCTTTAGGAAAACTTTACTCGAAAATCATTGTTGTTGACTTTATTAAGCCAATCTAGTTAATTTTGATTATAATAATTACTTTATGGTCTTTTAACACTTATCATTTTTAGTTGTCAAAGAAGTATGAGAGTGTTAACCTTAAAAAGTCAAATTTCTTCAAAGAAACTTGCTTGCAACAATCAAAATGGTCTTAGTTTTACTTTCGTTTTTGTTTGACCCGCTATGTTATAAACATCCATATTGGAAAGTAGAATATGAGTTGAAATGATACTGTTGAAAGCAGATACAATTATATATATAAGTAAACTTGTCTGTTTGTTTTTAAGCCCAATGTTATACAATGGGCTATCATTACTATGCCTGTCACTGGTATAGAACACAGATTGTTTTTAACATTGTAAGCCTACAAATGATCCACTGGAGGCGATAACAACATTATGTAATTATTACGAGATTACTTAAGATTGCACAAAACTCGTCCATCACAATCATACACTTTTTTTTCAAATTTTAACAATTATGATTCAAATACATCGAAATACATAAATGTTTATATATAACCTTCATACACCGATAAAGTCTTTCAATTTTAATATTTTGTATATTTTGAATATTTGATAACTTAGTGTTGATACAATTTTACTTAAAGTTCCACACTTAAACTGGCGTGATAGCTTTTAAGAAATAGCCCAATCTCACTAGACGTAAGTTGGTCTTATTCGACTAAATATGTCTGTTATGTAAGTTTAAAATACAGCCTGTCTTACTAGACTTTGTTTTGTTTTAATAGCTCGTCTAGCGCCACAGAAACAGCTGAAGGGATTGGAGTTTATAGACAAAATTCCTCGATCACAGTTCGGCAAGATCGAACGTAAATATTTGAAAGATCATGTAGTCCAAAAACTGAAGAAATAGCCACTTGTCAGTGGCTCTCAGACAACATACAATATATATATTTGATGGTTTCAGTTGATGTGTAGAAACAGTATTTTCTATGAATTAAACGGCTACACGATAAAAGCATATATTTTTTTATATCTTATATGAATTTGTTTGAGTTTTTGTTATATATCATTAAAACTTCAGAATATGTGTTTAGGATGTTTGACTCGCAATGTTTCGATCGTGGGATCGAAACTCGTCGTAGAACAACTCCTCGTTTTAGTTGTGGGAGTGTTATAATATGGCGGTCAGTCCAAGTATTCATTAGTAGATATTAGTGAAATTCAACACACAACAACCACAGGTGTATCAGAAATGTATTACAAAATGTGTTTATATGTGAAATAAATGTACTGACATTTATTCAACAAAATAAAACTATGGAAACACTGTAGTAGAAATATAGAATTACTTGTATCAGTGAAAGTAAATGTTCATTGTTGGAATCAAACTAACTCCCAACAATTATCAAAACAAAATGTAATGTCATCCACGTAGAAGTAGTACAAGCTTATAGTTCACGTTGAATATTTTTTTAAAGATTTAAGAATTTTTTAGAGGGTGAAAAGCCATGATAATCCACACGCAGCCTTTATTATAAACGATATATCTCCGCAAACACATCTTTGAGCTCATAAGTTAAATTTCAAAGTTGACAAGGAGTTAATACCGATAAACTCCAAGATAAGAGTTAATACCGATAAACTCCAAGATAAGAGTTAATACCGATAAACTCCAATATAAGAGTTAGTACCGATAAACTCCAATATAAGAGTTAATACCGATAAACTCCAATATAAGAGTTAATACCGATAAACTCCAAGATAAGAGTTAATACCGATAAACTCCAATATAAGAGTTAATACCGATAAACTCCAAGATAACTTGAAGACAGTAAATTGCTCTAGATAAAAGTTGATGTTAGTGAACAGATACATTATACATAGCTGTGCGCGCTTCCTCTTCAATGGAGTGCCATATTGCTACCGCTACAGCACGAAATATACAACGGCATTACTGTTGTCGCTACATATTTATAAATATAGGGGCGCTACCGCTACTTTTGAAACTGACATTTTTCATAATAATTGATTTTTGTCACTGGGTAATGTAATAATGAAAAACGCAAATTTATTGGTAAATTGTAATACAATAACATAATACAGACTCTTCAGAATAGCCTATCCGTATTTGTGAATGATGAGAAGAAGGCAGCTAACAACCATACAGCCTTCGATATATTCAATGATAGTATTTAATAAACACAACGTCAAAAATATATGAATATGATGACAGTAATAATATTAAATGAGCTAATATGAAATAATAAATCTCTGATATTAGAATATATTACGTCCCTTATTATTTGTTTAATTTTATTATTGGTTTAATTTGTTATATAATTTTAGTAGTATCAGCTTCTCGAAATTGTTATCCGTCAATCCAGCTCTTTTTGACTTCAAAATGTATTTCAATGTTGAGAAAATGCGTTCTACAGTTGCATTAGATAGAATGGCCATATTGAAGTAAATAAAGAGATTTAAAAGCTGAAGAAGAGAACAAGCTTGCTTAGGAACAGTGTTATTTGATCATTGCTACTTTGTGACGAATTACTTTCAAGCTTTGATTGTTGTTTATAACACATGAAGAAATCTTCTTTGTCATGTCCCTCGGTGCTCAAATATGACCGAAAATCACTTAAATCAGCGGCTCCTTCTATCTTCTCTGAAATGTTTTTTAATCATCATTTGTTTTATAGTTTCTCTCCCAGTGTTCGACCTAATCCATGGATGAAAAGTATTAGGTCGTCAAGAAATTAATGTCGCGTTTTGGAACACTTTCATTAACCACCCCCCAAAAAACGTACATCGTGTATAATAGTTAAACGAACCGCCTAAATAGGCTACACTAACGTGACAAACTTTACACATTATATGTTTTAACAGCTCGTCTAGCGCCACAGAAACAACTGAAGGGATTGGAGTTTATAGATAAAATTCCTCGATCACAATTCGGAAAGATTGAACGTAAATATTTGAAAGATCATGTTGTCCAAAAACTGAAGAAATGATGACTGGTTAGTGGCTCTCAGACAACACTACATTATATATACTGCTTGGTTTCGATTGATGTCTGGAAACAGTTTTTCCTGTGAATTAAACAAACTACAACAACCACAGATGTACCAGAAAAGTATTATTAAATGCGTTTATATATGAAATAGATGTAATGACATTTATTCAACAAAACATAACTATGAAAACACTATATTACAAATACAAAATTACTTGTATCGGTGATAAGTTTACATAAAATCATCTTTAGAAAGTAAATGACCATTGGTGGAATCAGACTAACTCCTAACAGTTATTAAGAGGGAATGTAACGATGTTCACGTAGGAGTAATGAAATCTTAGAGTTCACGTTGATTCATACTTTTCAAGTTTTAAGGTTTCTTTTATTAATACAGTAAACAGTCATGACAAACTACACGTAGCCTTTTTATAAAAAATGTATCTCCGAAATCCCATCTTAAATCTCGATAAGGAGTTAATGTCAATAATCTCCAAGATAGATTGAAGCGAGTCAACTGCTCTAGATAAAATCTTGAGTTTGTGAACTGATAAATTAATCACAACGATTGCTAGGAAAGCTAGTAAACGAATGAATGACTTAAACCCAGATCAACCACTATAAAGATAAAACCGGTAAATTAGTATATAAATCAAAGCCGATAAGCTACTACGGATAAAGATTTAAAGCCGATGAACTGTTAACTAAAAAACAAACTCGAAGCTAGTTTTTATTTGGTGTGGAATTACGCGCAGAGCTACTCGAGTGCTACCTGAACTACAGGGAAGGCAGCTAGACAACACCACCCACCGTCAGCTCTTGGGCTACTCTTTACCAAAGAATAGTGGGATTGACTTTCACTTTATAACGCTCTCATGGTTGATAGGGACGAGACGAAGATATTTGGTGAAGGGTATCGATCTCATGATCCGCAACTTGTGAGTTGAGCACCTTAGTTAGCAGGTTATGCCAAGCCCGCAAATTCTTAACTTGCTGTAAATGCAAAAATGTGCTAACTTGCTCTAATTAATTTTCATGTGTTTCAGTTTGTGTAGGCCTGGTGAGCTTGCAGTTTTATAATTGTCATTAACGAAAGTTGTAGTGTGTATAAGATGAATATTAAACAGTTTTTAACAAATGAATTATTGGTAGACAATCCGCACGTTACAGCTATACTTAATAAAACTATATGCATATTTTTAGAACACATATCATTAAACTCTCTGATATATATTTTCTTGTCTCATTCCTGTCCAAACAAACAATAATTGTCTTATCATGCCACTAGATGGTGCTTGAAATATTAGTTTTTAAATTAGTGAGGAATTGACACTTTCAACTATTCAATAACAGTAGCAAAGGTTTTCTCTAATTACATCAAACATGAAAATAAATGACTCATTTATAGACAACGTAGCATTCTTTTCTTTATGATTCCAAACTTTCAAAATGTCATGTAGGTATTATAACAAAAAACAACATTTGAGTCACTGTATTTGCCTAAACACTTCTATATTTTTGATAAGAAAATTTGATTTATTATTATTATTATAGTTACATTTGATAAGAATGATAGTAGATTTGCATATAAGTTTAATAATTCATAACGAAACAGTAAAAAATCATAGGTAACATAAATTTCCCATTCGTGACAATTTGCACCCAGGAAACAGTAACGTACATAAATGTTATCGATATCAACGTAACTTCTACTTCTTAAAGGTCGCATATATTGTATTACAGGATCTGTGGCTAGTGAAGATCACACGTGTTATATGTTGAAATCTCACTCAAAGTTAATGAAACGATATTGAAGAACAAGTCCAAAAGTATAGATAAACATTTGATTGATCTCTAAACACAGACAATGTATATAATGTATTGGCAAAGATCTGTTGATTATCGAACTCGTATTAGTAAACAATGTGTAATGATTGCAAAACTATCTTTTCAGAATATTTCAGTTATTTCAATTCCACAAAATGTACTAAATATTGATCTGAAGTCGAACAGGATAAGCAGACATGTAAAAGATGAAAACACGAGGATAAATAGTTATCGAGGTCCGCTGATGCAGCAATAAGAGAAAGTCCAAGAACACTTGTGTTTCCAAGTGTCAAAAGTATAAATACGAAGACATTAAAAGTATTTATCAAACAACTAAATAAATAATTAAATTTAATGTGAACAATGAGAGGATAATTTCATTGTTTAAAAATTAAACCTTTTCTTCAGATTAGGAAACACCACTGTAACAAGCCTGCTATCAGTATTTACACACTTTCATCATCAACTACATCCAGTCACTGTGTTACATGTTGCTTAGTTACACGTTCTGTGAAACATTTTAAGAATGAAATACATGTTGTTTATGTGTATGTGCATCGAAAATATCTCTCAAGCACAAATCACTAACAGGCTTAGCTCTAAAAGGTCTGAAATCATGTAGATATAATAAGAAAAACAACAACTATAAATAAAAAAATATTCCTTATGGTCATATACAGGTGTTTTAGTACCAACTTATTGACAGGTGGCGCATTTCGTTCAGTGATAATAAAATGTACTTGAGCTCGCATTGGGGCTTGTTTTCTGAATCATTCTGTGGACCAAAATATTTTAGATAATTTTATCAAAATTCCAAGTACAACATTTAATCACGCGCAATTCGAAAAACCTTGTATATTATATGATCTGTAAAATACGCTGGCACTTAAGAGATCGTTCACGTCAACATTTCTCCTGTATAAGAATTAATTACACTACGAAACCCACAATAACTCTTCACATTGCATCTCCGACTTCTCTCTACTTGGGCTCATATTTGCTTCCTCCACTGTAACGCAATGATTGTTTATTATTGCTGAATTTCACGCAAAGCTACTCGAAAGCTATCTACGTCGTGCCCATCGCGAGTATCGAAACCTAATGTTTAGCGTTATAAGCCTTCAGATTTGCCACTGAGGGGCCACTATCTGCATTAATCGTTCCTAATTTTGAAGTGACGGCTGTCAACACCACCCACCGCCACATCTTGAGCTACTCCAATCAACTAGTGGGGTTTCACCCCGAGTTTTATAACGCATTCACAGCTTCAGAGTGCGAGGCGCAAATTTCTTTTGGCGGAAACGAGGAGAGAACCTCGGATCCATAATCTGGCACGACATTCACTGAGCTGCGCTCGACCCATAACTGAAAACGTTTGATTTTTGAAATTAGGTGCAGTTCTTCTTCTTGATGT